ACTCTTTCAAATTTTACATTCCTCACAGAATAAAATTATACAGAAGGACCACTCAAATGTGCACCGCGTCCTCACGTTCGGGTTGGGATAAAACGCGGATACGGATGGCACGGATAAGGATACGGAGGAGGGGATAAAACACGGATGAGGGGATAAAACACGGATGAGGGGATAAAACACGGATATTCTTAAAATTTTATTTCTTTCAATTGGTAGTTTTACCAAAATTAACACGAAAACGTTTTGCATCAACATTGTGTGCTTTTATTTTAATTGTTTCATTTGCAAATTATAAGAAAGTAAAACCTAAATATTTTTAAAACATCACCCAGAAACGTGATGTTTTATAGTGTTGTTTTGGGTTATTTGGTATGTATGTTGAGGAAAAATACTGATTGGTTCAACTACGAATGGGATTGAGTTGATCTCGTCTTTGAAAAGCAGTGTTGCACATGTAAGAAATTCTATTGATTCATATTATGATCAATGGTACCACATTGCATTAACGTTAGCGGCAAAGGTTGGGGTAGAAGAATGTAAGCGAAGGACAATTGGAGGACAAACTACAAGGCCCAATCCTCCTTATCGTTCTGTCTAGGAGTATTACAAACGAATCTATACGATTCCATTAATTGACTATCCTCTCTCTTCTTTATATGCAAGATTTGACACGGAAAGTGGAAATATCTGTCAGGGACTGAGTATTGTTTCAACAAAAATGTTTTCTCTTATAAAAAATGGGGTTAACTGGAAACAGAAATTCAAGATTGTTTCCAAATTTTACATTGATGATTTACCCAATCTGTTATATTTGAATGCAGAGTTGTTATTATGGCAATCCTTCTGGGAACATCGTAAAGGTCCTTATCCAAGAAATGTAGCTACAGCATTAAAAGCTATAAATTTTGATGGTTTTCAAAACATAAAGTTCATACTTGAAATATTAGCAACCCTTCCCATAACTTCATGGGAATGTGAACGGTCTATTTCAGCGCTGCGAATTCTTAAGGATTATAAGCGGAGTACTATGATTGAAGAAAGATTAAATGGTCTTGCTTTAATAAAAATCCATCAGGAAATTCTTGCAGTGCAACGCGTGATTGATAAATTTTCTGTTGAGAACACTAGATTAAAATTAAATTTAAATCATACTTTAAGGTTTGTGTTTTTAAATCAAATAGTGCAATAATATCTTCACTTTAATAGTGAATTGAAAAGAATTTACTATTTTTGCAACACGTTCTATTAAACTTGGATAGTCAGAATAAAATAAAATAGATAATTGGTGGTGGTGAATCAGGAAGGGAAGTAAAGGGTTAGAAATTACTGGAATGGTGTGAAAACTTCAACAACTTCACATCCACGAAATATTTCATATAGTCACCCATCGTCCAACCAAACTCCTGTTGCTCGTGCGAAAGGTGTGAAGGTTATTTTCTGGCGCCATAACCAGATTGCTGACTTTTGCTCTTTTAAGGGCTGTCCATGTCGGATGATGTTTTAAAATTTGGGACGTTATCCTAGGCATACTGAGGAGCCCTGACTTTTGCTCTTTTAAGGGCTGTCCATGTCGGATGATGTTTTAAAATTTGGGACATTATCCTAGGCATACTGAGGAGCCCTGAGATTAGGCGAAACAGTCTGTTATCATCTTTTGAAAGGGAATTCATCTTAGCTATTGCCATTTTTCAATTATAAAAAGTTTATAACTCGCTTCATATGATGTCATAAATGACGTCATATTTTACGCCTTATATGACGTCATAAATTTTTGAAAAATCCGCCCCTGAGTTGCCTCACCTTGACATGGTTGTTAGACATCTAGAGGATTGGGTTCTAAATCATTGTGGGCGGATTACTAATTACAGGGCCTGTCTATTCCTCTCATTAAGTTCAGTTTTCCTTTGCTTTTGCATTTGCTCTGCTTGTAACCCCATAGGGTAAGAAATGAAAAATAGTTCATTTTAAAGTTAAAACGAAATTTCGAAAAACATCGACATGGTCAGGGAAATAGGAAAAGCCAATACTTCATGAGCTCTGAGTATTGCGCATTTGAACAGTAGATAGTACGAAAGCCAGTTTTTCTCTGCATTCAATTGCATGTAAGGTTTTCAACAGCGTGAATAGTCTAAGTCAAGCACATTTAGCTAGCACGGCTGGAATATCAAAAACGTTCAAATCCTAATTATGTCCAGATACAATGGACCTCTCAAAAGCCCGGGCCTGTATGCTTAAGTCTACTTAGTCTACTGGTTAATCCACCTCTGGTTTCGATTTAAGTTACACAGTAACTTTTGTTTATATCAAAGAGGTGGTGCGCAAGCATACGTTTCACGCTTATATCACATTTTACTTATACACACTGGCGGTCATTATTGACAAGATACATTCGAGAAAAGATCACAATCCATTTATCAATCGGGAAACGATATAGTCACCGCAGTAGGGTATAACAAGATTTTAAACTATAAGCAGGACTCTGAATTATTGCACTTGTTTATGGAGAAAGGGCTCCCCGCTCCTAGTTTCTATTTGAATTGCAACAAGCACCTATACTTAAATTTGTAAAAAGGGGGCGGTTTTAGCAATCAGAAAGTGCTATCTGAAGAGGGTAAAAGTATATGTCTGCTTTTGAGAAGAAATTTTTTACGGCTGCCAAGTTACAGTGAAAAACGCAAATAAACTTGATGATTAACAAAGCGAGAAATATGATTTTGAACATTCCATTATTTGAGAGCTGCTGCATCATCTTCCAAGCACTATAGGTTAGTCCTATTCACTAGCTTTCACCGTTGTATGAAATGCTTTGGCGTAAAATATTGTACTGTGCTGAAAGTAGCAAACAGTTCCATTGGCAAGCAAACTGTAAATAGTTTTAAATGTCGTTGACAGCTTTAAAGCTGCCTCTAAATTGAAATTGGAAGTTTGCAAAATAGGGATGCAAATTGCTTTTGAATTTGGTCATTTCAGCATTATCATGTTTTCTCTGTTTTATTTCAAGTGTTACCAGTGTTTTCTTTATTCTTTGTTCGAAAAGGAATGCGGAAATGAGCATATATGTGATGGCGGTACCAGGAAACTTTGCAGCGACTTTATATGCCAGTCCGCCTCTTTCAACAGACGATTCGAGTGTTAGTGGCGATGCTTTTGTTTATTCGCAGTTTAAAGATTAACAGTATTGGTGACTTACAACATTGTAGTTTTGTTTAAATGCAGCAAAGTACTCCATCGACTCCATCACGGAAAGAACTCTCGAAAATTTTTGATTCCATGTAAATTGAATTGGATAAATATAATGCTTTATAATAATTAATTCACAAATGCAAGGATTAAATTCTGTAAAAAGCTTATCTTCGTTCATCCGCAAAATATGCTGTGGTATAATGTGCTGGCAATTAATGTAGAGCAGTTCTAGGACGATTTCCACCTTTTTGTCATTTTTCTGGTAAAAGGATATTCAATAGTCTATGCATATTGGTATTGTGTAAGAAAAAATATAAAAGAGCGCGAGGTAAAAACTCCTCAGACGTGTATACAATGTAGTTTCAAACTCTTCATTTCACTGTGAGTTTTTTGAAAATGAACACGTAAAAATATTTTGCGTCAATGGTTGTATTATGTGAAATGCCATAATATAAAAAGTATTAATTATATACGGGTTTTAAATATACTAATTCAGACATTTTAAAAATTTTCATTTAGTTTTGTCGTTTTCACATCATACGGACAAAATTAATACCAAAATAAGATTCTTAATTCTGCACTTAAATCTTCCAAGTCATATTCTTAGCGTGAATATAATTTAGATTTACAATAACAGTGAATAAACAATACCACTTTCTAAATGAGAGAAACGCCTTTCTCATTACATGTTATAAGCTGCGCTAAAATTATATTGCATTAAAGAACTACGCTGTTTCATCACATTTGATGAAAATTTACTTCTTATCCATGTCAAGCAATAATCTCTATTCGACCTTTTTTTCATTTTTCGAACACAAGATTTTGAGAACAGGATATCTTCGTAAATTTTTTAGAAACAATTTAATCGTGAGCGATCATTGAAAGAATTCCCTTCCTAGCGTGAAAATTAAATGTGCATGCTGTGACACGAGTGTACATGCAAATGTTAATTTAAAAAATCCGTGAGCTGTCAAAAGTCATGCCCAAATTTGATGAATTTTTTATGTTTATTTGAAACGATCAATTAGAGTAGGCATTTTTAAAAATGCATCTTCCCTACAAATCTTTGTTTTCTAAAGTGTTCTTAGCAGATTCTTTGTTTCTATAATATCCGAAGTCGCTACGTTTTTGTTCTCAAAGGAACAAAACAGCATTTAAGCGATGGTCTGATCTGTTTCTTTGCATTAGAGTTTTAGTAATCAAACAAAAATATGTCATTGGCAAGCTGTGCTACTATAATAGAGAAGACGTTTCTAAACTATTGCTATTTACATACAAAATTATTTCAGAGTCTTTTGTTTTCTTGTAATAAGTTTCCATTCCAACTTTCGTCAAAGTTCAAAATTTACCTTGTTTTTTTGGTTTTTTTTGGAAGCAAAGTTGGATTATAACTCATTTCAGAAAACTGACTCATATACAACTTCAAACATGATGGGTGCGCTGTGATCCACAAAATTTGGAAGATTTTGAGGGAAGCACCCATACTATCGTTTTTATATGTTATATATACATATATAATAGCCACGTATGTCTGAACAAGCACAAAGCCAAGGTTTGGATCAAACCTTCTCTGTGTATTTTAGCGTATTCTTTATAGATTGTGCTGACTTGAATCTTAAGTCATTTTCTTTAAGCGTGATGGTTTAATATGACGTAGAAAATAATAGTTATCTTCAAATTTTAGCACTGTGTTAGGCACGTGCGATCCATGCAATTTACATTTTATAAATGGAAACACGAATCCAATATAAAATCATTGCCCAGCTTCGTAACAAATCCGTAATCTATTGCTCTAGTGTAAACAAAACAACGTCAGAATTAAAAACTAAATAATTGTTGTGTTCACTGATTATATCTAAAAGGCTAGAAACTAATAAAGGTACGTGAAAAAATTTTAAGGTTGCCAACGCACGCGAAAAAGTTTGAAACACGCTAATACGTACATAATCGTTAGATACATACAAGTAGTCACGTAAAAATTTATCTTAAATCTTATCAGGAATTTTAACAATGTTATTTTATGTATAGTTGCTTTATGTGGTAACAAAACATACGCTATAACGCCAGAGATGTTTTGACAGCTCGATCGCTAAGATCTTATGGGTAAGACGATAAGACATAACATTATGATGGTCAAGTTATTTCTTTGGATCTTTTCTTACATTACTCATTACATTTTTTGCTAGCAATTAATTCCACCGGCAAGTCTTCGTTTGGTCAAGTTAGCCAGAACGTGGCAGTAATGAACGTCACAGTAAACAAAACAAATGTAAGTTTTTGTCATTCGTCTTAAATTTCAACGACTGTTTCAGTTTTAGATATATATGATTTTAATGCTGATACCGCGAAACTCGTCAATTTTATGGGCAGTCTGCAGTCAAATTCCTTAAACAATTTCTCTCGATTTTGTTCTCCTAAGCGTAAGTTAAAGTTGGACTATGGTTATTTGAGCCATTAGTGTAAATGATGTAGTCAATCTATTTGGCAAGCGCTGCATAATCATTCCTTTAAAATGCATTTAGTCATATGGTCATATGGTCATGAGGAAACAATCGCATCAATGGCAATGTCAATGATGGGTGTGGTAAACAACAGTCTTCTTATCATTGTTATTCTGGTGGATCCTCTTCATATTATAAGACGAGGACCATGGATAACTATTCTTAGCTTAGCCTCAGCCGATTTTATTGCTTCTCTTTCAAAGTTCTTGACACTTGGATTAGCAGTGGAGTTTGGTATGGAAGTGTCAAGTGAAATCAAGTTTGCTTGTTCATACATGTGGATGCTTGGAGCGGCAGGCTCATTTTTTCACTTGACATCACTTACATGGCAAACCCTTGCCACTGGTAAATATTCTATACGTAGTCGACAGATGTTATCTACGAAGAAAGTTATCATCCTATGCATAACAATGTGGTTTGTGGCCAGTTGCATTGCTTTAGGAGAAATTTCACATGAAATTTTCGATATTTCGTTCGAGCGGGCGATGCATATCTATATAAAGGAATATGCCGTTTTAGAATTTGCTGTTTTCCTCCAAATTATCATGAAGTGTTTTATCATCAAGGAAGTAATGCTAAGTCGACGAAATGCAAATATTAATGGGAAACAACAGAACAGTAAACACCTCGAAATTGCAAAGACAATCGTCATTCTGAATATAGTTTTATTTGTAACTGCCTTTCCATATTTTGTCGCCAAACAAGTGGAATTCATCGAGAGATTAGGGAAAATACAGAGCAGCTATGCTCGACATTTTGCAGAGCACTATGAACCAGTTGCTTTGTTGAATTTTGCTCAATCCAATCTTATACGCACTTAGGCTTGAGCATTATCACGATAGTCTTAAATCCTTTTTAGATGTTTTCGAAATTCGAAATCTAATCTCAATTCTCGGAACTATACATCTGTTTCTAGAAAAACGCAGCAGATGTAATACAATGCAAGATGGCCCATGGTAGCGACTTTTGGTAAACTGCAATAATTGGCCATTGATTCTTCATTCAACATTTATAAACTAGTGTGACAAAGCTGCACGATATCTACTTGTTAAGTATTTAACAGTAGAGAATACATGTAGATAAAAAGAAATTCCTCAAAGATGCTTCCACAAAGATATAAATTGTTGTGGCACGTAACTGGACTCAATTTATTCAACTAAATCAACAACACAATCAACTAAAAACATTACACTTTACACTACTTTACAATGACAATACACAATAGACACCCAATCATTACAGCTAAAAACATCACGAACCTGGACGATCTACAATTACAAACATGTAACTCAACTTATTCCTCGCATAAAATCTAGAAATAAAAGCTTCCACGCAATATTTTATTGCTAAAGTGATAAGAAAAAATGACGTTTCGTTTGACAGAACTATAGGGTAGTTCTGTCAAAATGAAACGTCAATTACCACATTGGAGCTCTTTGTCCTCTTATGTCATCTTTTGTCATCTTTGTCATCTTATGTAGATAAAAAAATTGACTTTTCACTTTGTCGTAACAACAACGATTAATTGATGCATGGCGAACTGTGTTTGTCACTCTGCATAAGTATATTAGTTAATCAACTAATGAAAGATGTGAAAAATATAGTAGTTCTAGAAATGCTATGATGTCCATTCACAGAACGATCATTTAATTCGATTGATTGTTCCACAATGAGGGGCCTTGTGAATGCTGAAAATTCCAAATTACGTCTGCTGCTGCTGCCTCCTGGGAAAATTTAACGCTTTGGCAGACAGCAAACATCCATTAAAGAACTAGGAACGGTTACACGTAGCGTGGTTATCGATTGAATAGTAAATTTTTCAAACTTGTCAAAAAGGTAGTTATATATTCTTTACGATGATAAATTTTTTTAATCTATAGAATCAATTTTATATTTCATTGATCGCCCGGTTCAAGTCGCAGAATTCCATTTGAGAGACGTTTGAAGTGCAGCATTTGGCCTTGCAACATGTCCTGATAATTCAAACTCTGGATTCTGGATAAGTTTAACTGGCTTTATGATATTTCAGGTATTCAAATAGACCGATTATTTATTATTTAATTCTCATGCAAGTGATGAATCAAACAAAGGTAAGTTTACAAACAAATCTAATATTTTTATATTTCAAACACCTTTGTTTCCGCACTTTCTATGCATGATAATCTGTTGTGACGACAATGCATCAACATACGTATTTGACAATGTAAGACTTTAAAATTGAATATTTAGCATGTTAGAGCTGCTGAAAATCTTTTGTTTGAATTTATTTGCTGTCTATAGCCAATTTATATGTACATACTCTTTCAAATTTGACATTCCTCACAGAATAAAATTATACAGAAGCGTCATACTGCTGCACCGCGTCCTCACGTTCGGGTTGGTATAAAACGCGGATACGGATACGGAGGAGGGATAAACATGGATGACGGGATAAAACACGGATCTTCTTAAAATTTTATTTCTTTTCAAGTGGCGGCTTTACCAAAATTAACACGAAAACATTTTGCATCAACATTGTGTGCTTTTGTTTAAATTGTTCCATGTGCCAAATTATAAGAAAGTAAAACCTAAATATTTTTAAAACATCACCCAGAAACGTGTCTATATAATGTCTTAAGTTGCAAGTTAAATGTGCAGGGTAAAGTGAAGTAGATTCGACCTTTTAAAAGTAGATGTTCGTAGAAAAAAATGTTTACTTACGCTGAATTCTCGGGGATTCATTTATTTCTAATAGTGCAATAATAGCTTCACTTTAATAGTGAATTGAAAAGAATTTACTATTTTGCAACACGTTGTATTAAAAGTGGACAGTCAGGATAGGATAAAGTAGATAATTAGTGGGGTGAATCAGTTAGGAAAGTAGGTTGAATTACTGGAAGGGTGTGAAAACTTCGACAACTTCACATCCACGAAATATTCCATAGTTCACCTGTCGTCCAACCAAACTCCTGTTGCTCGTGCAAAGGTGTGAAGGTTATCGCCATAACCAGACGGTTGAGTTTGCTCCTTTAAGGGCTGTCCATGTCGGATGATGTTTTAAAATTTGGGACATTATCTAGGCATACTGATGAGCCCTGAGACTGGCTAGAAACAGTCTGTCATCATCTTTTGAAAGGAATTCATCTTAGCTATTGCCATTTTTAATTACAAAAGTTTATAATTCGCTTCATATAATAAAAGGTAGGATGTCACGATGACGTCATATTTTACGCCTTATATGATGTAATAAATTTTTGAAAACCCTTGATCCGCCCCCTGATTTTCCTCACCTTGACATGGTTGTTAGACATCTAGAGGATTGGGTTCTAAATCATTGTGGCGGATTAATTACAGGGCCTGTCTATTCCTCTCATTAAATTCAGTTTTCCTTTTGCATTTGCTCTGTTTGTAACCCCATAGGATAAGAAATGAAAAATAGTTCATCTTTAAAGTTAAAACGAAAATTAACACATGATCAGGGAAATAGGAAAGCCAATACTTCATGAGTTCTGAGTATTTTGTATTTGATCAGTAGATAGTACGAAAGCCATTTTTCCTCTGCATTCAATTGCATGTAAGGTTTTCAAAAGCTTGAATAATCTAGTCAAGCACATTTAGCTAGCACGGCTGGAATATCAAAACGTTCAAACCTAATTATGTCCAGATACAATGGACCTCTCAAAAGCCTGGGCCTGTATTCTTAAGTCTACTCAGTCTACTGGTTAATCCACCTCTGAGCCAAATTAAGTTACACAGTAACTTTAGTTTATATCAAAGAGGTAGTGCGCAAGCATCGTTTACACGCTTATATCGCATTTACTTATACACACTGGCAGTCATTATTGACAATATACATTCGAGAAAAGATCACAATCCGTTTACCAATCAGGAAACGATGTAGTCACCGCAGTAGGTTATAGCAAGATTTTATGGCCCTGAATTATAGGGTGTGGCTCCCATCTAGTTTCTATTTGAATTGCAACAAGCACCTATACTTAAATTAGTGAAAGGGGGCGTTTTTTTACAACCAGAAAGTGCTATCTGAAGAGGTTGAAAGTACATGTCTGCTTTTGAATAGAAGTGTTTTAGTTACAGTGCTGCCAAGTTACAGTGAAAAACCAAATAAACTTCATGATTAACAAAACGAGAAATATGATTCTGAACATTCCATTATTTGAGAGCTGCTGCATCATCTTCCAAGCACTATAGGTTAGTCCTTTCACTAGCTTTCGCCGTTGTATGAAATAGCTTTGGCGTAAAATATTGTACTGTGCTGAAAGTAGCAAACACTACCATTGGCAAGCAAATGTAAATAACTTTAAATGTCGTTGACAGTTTAAAGCCCTCTATATTGAAATCGGAAGTTTGCAAAATAGGGATGCAAATTGCATTTTGAATTTGGTCATTTCAGCATTATCGTGTTTTCTCTGTTTATTTCGAGTGTTACCAGTGCTTTATTCTTGTTCGAAAAGGGCAGAAATGAGCATATAGGTGATGGGGTCACCAGGAAACTTTGCAGCGACTTTATATGCCAGTCCGTCTCTTTCGACAGACGATTCGAGTTTCATGTGGCGATGAACAATAGTTAAAGGAAACGAAGAGGATTGTCCAATGTCTTCGAAAACAGAGATCACGAGTGTTCGGATGACGACAACACCCACGTGAGCAGTACAGTTATATATGACTTTTCCTTAAGATGGAGATAGATATAAAAACATCTTTGTTGATGTAGATTGTCCACGTTAGTACAGTCTTGATAAAGATTGTTTGTGTTAGTGTTGAGCATTGAACTAAAATACATGGAACGCTACCTTTAATAGAAAAGTCTAATAAATTCTCGAAGCCAAAGTTTACACCCAGACACGCGTGTGTAGTCAATCACTTTTCAGAATCTCGAAACATTACACACGCGTGTCTGGGTGTAATCTCGCGTGTCTGGGTGTAAGATTTGGATTCAATATTTGCTTCAGATAGCGTTCCATGTATTTTAATTCAATGTTGTTCAGTGATGTTTCGACATCCTTAATGGTAGCCATCTTATGTAAGGTATTAAACCTTTGCGGTAGTCTTCCCTTAACGATGT